GCCAAAGAACTTAACATGCATTACCCATGGACATGAACTAAGGAGAGGGGAACTCTGGAGGGAATGGAGGTACTGGTTAGAGGGGGGCAAAGAGGGAAAAATTGGGACAACAGTAATATCATAATTAAAAAAAATATATTTTTTTAAAAAATGTTTTTTTCCATATCTTTTGAAAGTAACTAAGGGGCAAGTTAGCATTTCTGTAAATCAATATTCTCAGGAAATGATCATTGATTACCAAGCAAGTGCAATGCCTTCCTGAACTTTTCCAATTTATAAATTAAATTGTCTAACATATGTAGGCAAAGTAACCTGTAGAAAACTGTTTAAAATCAATCAATAACTGCTTAGATAAGGTGAGATTATTAAAGATTATTAGGGAATTTTTACTTTTACGTTTTTTTTAAAGGCTATTTTTGAGAGTATATTTTAAAGGGCATTTAGATCTAACTGATAAAGTTAGTAAATTCTCATGTCAAATCCAGGGCAAGAAGATGTTTAGTCTGAATAAGATTTTCTTTCCTCCCAACAGTAATACTGGCTGAACAAAGTTCAAATGAGAAGTAAGACAGTGTACCTTATATATATTACTGAAAACTCCACCACCAGAACTATTGAGTCACTTCAAAGAGACAATATGTCACTGAAGCTTGTTCACAACTTGACAGGGAGTATAACACATCAAAAAGAGAAATGTTTCAGAATTTTTATGGAGCCATTTAAGTATTTGTAGGGTATAGAAAAAGAGTTCTGTGATCTAAGGAGGGATTTTCTGACCTAGTGGCAAGTGGGAGCCTGTATGTTGGTGTGTCTTTTCACATGTTGAAAAACAAAAAATCAAGTTTCTGTTGCTAGTTTTATTGAAGTCACCAAATTAAATGCTAGATATTAAGGTTTTCTTTTTAGTCAGCCTGTGATGTTCCTTTGTGACATTTTTACAGGGGGAAGAGAAATGCTACATAAATGTTGTGAGTGCTCAGAAAATATTAGCTCTTTAGTTTGTGCTGTGGGCTGGGACTATGAGATAAGTAATTCAAGGATGAGTAGGAACCTTGCTTGCCCCCTAGTTGTTCATAGTTGGAGACCAAAGAGTAAGAAAGCAACTGCAAACTAGTCTTGATAATCATGAATGTAGAGAGAAGAGAATCTCTCAAGATGTGCAGAGACAGTGCTGAGTTGAGTGTTGATGGATGAGTAAGAGTGTGTCTACAGGGAGGGAAGGGCATGCCAAGCAAAGTCACTGAGGCTGAGAGAACACTGCATCTGGGAAGGGAGATTGATAAATGGTAGCCCAGGAAAGCACGAAATAATGGCAAGAAATAAAGCCAAAATGGTAGTGCGTGGTTCTTCATTAATGATTTTATTCTGGGTTGTTAGGTTTGGACCTTGAGTCATGGTTTTGAGCCACTGAAAGTTTACATAATGAAGATAACTGACAGTAGATATTTGAAGGGTGGAGGAAAGGGTTCAGGTAAGAGATGAGGAAACAGGACAACATGAAGGGATGTTCCGCAAATTGTGGGATCTTGGAGGAGCCTGTGAGACTTAAGGTGGAGATAATTAGTCTTCCTAATACTGTTTCCTCTTCTGTGAAACAAGGAATTTAAGTACGCACATGCAGTATTGTCTTAAAAATAACAAAATAATACACTTGGAACCTAGTACAGAGGATTACTTTTAAGGAGCAACTAGGGAAAGAGAATTGCTGAAAGAGATTGAGTAGCATCACTGGGAAATTGGCAGATAATGATCAACAGCAGCACATCTCAAAATGTAGGCAAAGAGGACTGGAAAGTGTTGGGTGAGTTTCTGAATATATAGATTAGTGGTAATTTTACCAAGAGTACTTTTGGTGGAGGTTTGTGGCCAGAAGCCAAATTGCATTTGGGAGTGAACATGTGGTAAGGAAATGTTAACTTTTTTTAAAGCTTAGTTTTAAAAGATTCTGCCTGTGTTTTTTTGAATTTTGTCCCACTTACTATGAAGCTGCACATTCAAGGCAGTGCTTTCAAACACTTTCAGGTGTGGAGATATCTGTATAGTTTTGGAAGTTTATCTCCATGCCTTTCCTAGTTACTTCGTGCCACGTTTGAGGGCAATTTAATATCTTAGCAATATTTTTATTCTCTATTGAGTTAATATTTTGATAAAAGAGATATTTAAAATAGCTTTTCTTAAAAAGGAAGCCCAGCTTATTAATGTTGAGAGTTGGAATACAGATGCAAAATTTAGATCAGAGTTGGTATGTATTAATTGTTATTTTCTAGAGTTTTCAGACATTTGCAAAAGGGAAACTCCCAAGTCCTGATCAGTCCAGCTTCAACAGATTTTGGCAAAGTTGTTTCATTTATTTCTTTTGCAACTCTCCTCTGCGCCCCCCCCCCCCCCCCGTTAGATGATAGACCTTTTGTCATTCTATCTGTAAATACTTCAATATACATCTTGGAATTTATTTTAAATAAAAATAACCACTGTATTATTATCACACCTGACAAAATCAACAGTAATTGAGGAGAAGAAGAATTCATCAAATTCCCAAAGGAGTACATGATACACAAAAGGTGAAAAACTGCAAGTCTTGCCACTTAACATTGTGCATTTTTGGACATGGCCTCTCATATCCTCGAAAACTTTGCTATTTCTACTACTCCTCCCTCCATTCCTTAGATGTGATAGACCACTACAGGTTAAGAGTCCATGGAATTAAGGCTGTTCCTAACCTAATGAAAAATGATGCCTAATTTTTTATCATTACAGATTTTTACTGTATCTTACCCTTCACTGCATAGCATTTCATCCTCGTACTTTGAGTTCTCTAATTTACTATTTGGGAGGAATTTTTTTTTTTTTTTTTTTTTTTGCATATGAAAATGTCAAGTAGTCAGAGGAAGCTTGCTCTGTGAGCAGTGGATGGGTGAGATGAAAATGAAAACTCCCTTGTAATAAGCGACAGATGGTCTCCTGCTGCCTCGTGCAGTTTTGATTTTTAGGTCAGTTTATCATTTCTTCTGTTAACTGATTTCTCAAAGTGGTTTTTTTTTTCCCAAATCAAGCAGTATTATAAACACAGGGCTCCGTAACCTTTTTTTCCCCCACCTATAGATAAAATCCCATCTTCTTTTTCAAAACCTTTCCTTAATATGCTTCAGTGGGATGGATGATTTCATCATAAGGAAGAAGATTCTAGAGGAGCATGGAACATATTTTTGTTTTTTATTTGAAATAATTATTGAATTGCAGGAAATTGCAAAGTTAGGACATAGTCTCTGTACTCTCCCCACCGATTTTCCCCCAATGGTTACCATTTTATGTAACTATAGTACATTATCAAAAACAGGAATCATATTGGTGCAATGTGTGTGTACAGTTCTCATATTTTATCACATGTAGATTCGTGTAACCATCACCTGAATGAAGATACAGAACTATTCCATCACTGCAAATATCCCCCTGGTACTAACTCACTATGGTCATACCGCACTCCCTCTGCTGTACCATCTATAATCCAAGACAGCTATTAATTTGTTCTTACTTTCTGTATTTTGTCATTTTGCAGTAGTTATGTAGGTGGATTCAGAAAGTATGTTTTAAGATTGTCCTTTTTAATTCAGCATTAATGCCCCTGAAATCTGTTCAAGTTGTTTTATCAGTTCATTCTGAACATGTTTCTAAAGTACAAAGAAGTGCCCCATTAGGTCCCTGTACCAAAACTCAGTCTACCCAAAACTGCCCGACCTCAAGTTTAAAAAGGCCTTTAACTTTTGTGGGCATTTTACACTGTATATAATATATAATTATAATGAATATATAAATTACAATATATTTACATTGGAAAATTACTATTAAAACACGTAGTCTTAAAGTAGATTATGTATTTGAATTATATAGACAAAGCTTATAGATAATAAGTTAACCAAACTTAGAAGTACTATGGGACCAATGTTCATTGGTTATCTTCTTTTGTAAGTGGATTTTCATTTAAACAGGCAAAATTTGGGTGGGCTTTTCTTTTTGCTTTCTTTGAAAAAATTTCAAATTTACGTAGTTACAAGAATATTATGTTGAACGTCGTGAACGCCATTTACTTTAGCATTTTGCCACATTAGCATTATTCATTCCCTCCATCTGTCTGACAGTCTGTATATACACATACACACATACAGATACACAAAGTTTTTTCGGGACTATTGGGTTAGGTTGTGTATATCATGATCCTTTACCCTTAAGTATGTCAGTATATATAATTCTACAGAACAAGGTTATTTTGTTACACAACCATATCACAGCACATTCAGGAAATTTAATAATAATTGAGTATTTTTGTTTAATATAGTTTATGTTTTAGTTTCATCAATTCTTTTTTCCCGTATTTTCCTATCCTTACAGAATCTAGGTCAGGGATGAATGTTAGTTGTCTTTCTCTTTAAATTCTCTAAGTTGGAACAGTTCTTTAGCATTTGTCTTTTATGACATCAATGTTTTTGGAGAATATAAGCCAGTTATTTTATGGAATGTTCCTCATGATGGTTCCCTGTGGCTGGATTACCACAGGAGTGATGTATTTCTTGGAGAATTAAATCTGAAAACACACAGTGTCCATCAGCATCTCATTAGTGATGTTAAATTTTCATCACCAGATGAAGATGTTATTCAGTTTCTCCATTATATGGGTACTGTCTTTACCATTACAAGTAATAAGCAGTCTGTGGGCAGACACTTTGAGACCATGGAAATATTTTGCTCCATCAAGCTCGCCAAGATTTGGGGATGGTTCTTAATGATTCTTGCCCAAACTAACCTTTATTTTAAGAGTTCAAAGTCAGTGAGAGCTAACCTTTCTAAATTACCTTCGTCTGAAAATTCAACTTGATTTTAGAAACATTTACTTTTTTGTTTTAAAGCTTTGATCTGTGTGCATTTCATAAAGTAATTGCTAGTTCACTAACTTAAAATGGTTTTTAAACCTGAGTTTATTTTTAATCCTTTGCTGCCCTCTGCAGGTCTATGAATATAAATCTTTGGAGCAAGGTAAGTACCCCTAATAATGCAAATCATAAGGTTATGTACAAGCTATTAAGAGCAAAAGTTATAATAGGTATACACATTTATAATATATTATTATGTTAGTTAGAATCTCGAAGTTGATAATTTTAAAACTGCCTTTTGGAGCATGAAATTTATTATTGCAGCAATCTGACTTCCTAGTCCTAAATTCTTCGTAGGGTTTTTAACTTTTCCAGAGGACAGCTGTCATCATTATTCCTTTAACATTTGTCCATTAGGTTTAATAATTAATTTTTAAAGTATATACATTTAGATACACTTGTATAAGTGTATCTTTATATGAATGACATACAGACCAATTTCAAACTGCTGTCTTTTTTAAGAGGTTAATCACTTTTATGCAGGAAGGACATTTCATGTTGAATTGCTCGAAAAATTTGTAACTAAACCAGAATGTGCATTGTTGGTTGAAATTTCCAATTTAAATATTTTTTAAAGTCTAAATTTTATTCAATTTTGCTTTTAGTATTATGCTGCTATTCAGACTATATAGTCAGTTATACTATATGGTGAGGATAGTTATATTTGGAAGTAATTTTTCGACTAGAAGCGTTTTTTATTGTTTTATTCATTAAGTATGTCTTTGTTCAAATTTGGTATTAAATGTGGCTGACTTAATGTACGACTACAACTTCTGATAGAATTTATTGTCTGTCTTTTGTATATGTCTGTGTTGGTTAAAAAACAATTTGTAGGTGATGAATGTTTTGCTTTGTTTTTGAACAGTTTCTACCTCAACTATCCTTTCGATTGCCATTAGCTACAGCATGATTTTCATGGTGGGGGGAAGTGAGATATGGTTAATTTTGTCTAATTTTATATTAGCAAATAAATAGTAGTAAAAATAGCTGCAGTTTGAGTTACTAACATTTACAATTTGTGCCAGGTGCTATTTTAAGCTACTAATTACAAATTTAGTAGTAGAGTACACATAACATGGTTCAAAATTCCTAACTCATATCACTTTGGAAAACAACTGTGTTTTTGTTTTTACTTTCTTTAGCCCAAGGATACATAGTCAAATACCATGTTTAAAAGTTACAAGTCAGTGCTATAGATTTTGTAAAATTTTCATCATAAAATACATGTTTGGATTTTTAAAATTAAAAATTTGCGAGCAGAACTAATGTTAAATAAATGTTGTATATGTCTTTTAGTGTCTGCATTCAATTGATAATAATCCATGAGAACAAATACATTAGAACTTTTGGCCCCGTTTGTTTTAATGCTTTTAAAACGACTGGGAAGATGTTGTTGAAAAACTGAAAAATAAATAAGTAATCCAGGATATTTTACTATATTATTTCTGTAATAACTTCATTTAAAAGGAGGCAACTGGTCCAGTTTCAACAAGACCAAAACAATATTATGAAAAATAATATCGGTTGAAAATTCCTATAAGCTCTTTCCTATTTATAATAATTCGTTTAAAACAGTATATAAACAAATCCGTTTAGAGGCTTTCTTAGTGACATTTCACAAAACATTGCAGTTTTCCTTCAACATGGGTTTGTTTTGGTTTTGTTTTTAAGAGACAAACCTATTATTTAAAAACGAAACAATCTCCTTGGCAGGTGGGGGTGGTGTTAAATTACTGTGATATAGAATAATACCTTACTGGGGAGAAGCTTTATTATTTCAAGAATTCAATTTCAGATTGTATTTGTTCTTGTTTGCTTCTTTTGCTGCAATGCACGAATTTTCTGTCTTACCAGATAACGGAACTGTTGTACAAGGATGGACGTTATTGCCAAGAGCCTCCAGGACCAATGGGTAGCGTTTCAATTTCGATGATTGTAACTTATCCACAAATTCATTCTTCTGTGTAATGATGGGCTAGAAAGATTACAACAGTAAACATTCTCTTTTTGAAAGTGAAATTTGAAAACATTTGATTATAAATCTTTATGTTGATAACCACAGCATTTTGAAATCTATGAGGTGTTTAGTGTTATCTTAGTTATTTTCTTAAAAGACAGCCATGGAAGGCTTTTTATTTTCAGGAATTGAGGAAGTGCTTCTTATAGCACCTATGAAAGTATCCTTAAAAATCAGTAATCCTTAGTGTTTATGTGATTTTAATGTTTTGCAGGTGTTAATTTTAAACATGTCAAGTAGTAAAGAGGTCTTGTAGATTTTTTCCACTTAAATATAAATTATTGCATTATTTGACATTTAATGATTTTCATTTTTTTATATAATGAGGCCTAGAATACATAGTTTTCTATAAGAAGGTACCTTTCTTGAAAGTTCAAATTTTCTATACTAGGTATTAACACATGGCCCTATACATTTTATGCTTGAATGCAGAGAAAAATTACTGTTGTTACAAAACATCTTTGTTAATCTTGGTTTTTCATTGGCTAATAGGCAGCTCTCCACAGGATTACTGTATCTGCTTATTAAAATTATTTAACTTTCTATACACAACATTTAACAATCCTTTCTAATTTTATATGTTTCCCTAAATATTGCTGATAAAAAGTTAGTGTGGAAATGTGTACAGCGCATTATTTATTCTCACTACTGTGATTTGGACAGGAAAGGGGTAAGGTCTTTGGCAGGACCACTTCTGTCATGGAGTGGTATAAAAAAATAAATGGAAGTAAGATTCAGTACTGAAAAGCTGTCACTCGGTCTGAAAATAATTAATATTCCCTTCACTCACCAGTTAGGTATGTGCTCCCAAACCACATAATCTCTATGCCTCAGTGATCATTGTTGCCATTTCAGAGCCTCTCATCAGGGTGACATCTCACACCAAAATGATTTCTTATAAATTAATCTTGATAACATGACAGTCTCAGTAATTTTAGTGGAATGCTTTCTCTTGTTTTTTTCCACAGAAGCTGTTGGCTATTTTCTTTATAACTTGATTGACAGCATGAGTGACTCAGAGGTACAGGCCAAGGAGGAGCGTTTGAGACAATACTTCCATCAGCTGAAGGAGATGGTACCATTTCATTTTTTGCTATATAATGCCTGTCCTGCCTGACATGTATCTATTAGATTTGAAATTGCTGCTTTTAAGTACAACCAGACCACTTCTCAATGACATACACGAGTTGGAGACTTAAATTATGTCTGAGATAATTTCTGTTAGACAAATTTCAGTTTGCTTGTCTAAAACTGAGGGGTTTTTTCCTCCCTTTCCTTTGCACAGAATATAAAAATTCCTGAAAATATCTACAGAGGCATTCGTAATCTACTGGATAGCTACCACGTTCCTGAATTGATTAAGGTGTGTGAGAACTTGTAATGGACTTTCTAAAATAATGCTTAATTTATATTTAAAATCATGTTAAAATGTTATTCATTAAATAGGATGCATAGTCCAAAAAAAAGTTTATTTAAATGACCACAATTAAAACAAGGCTTTTTATTGACTGATGGTAAATACTGTTCATATATTGAAGAATACATTTAAAACATTTATTACAATGGTTAATAAAGTATGAATAGAACTTCTGGAAAATTTTTGAAAGATAGAAAAATAGCAGTAAAATGAGGCAAGACTTTTCAAAATTTGCTTTTGATGTTTGCTAATATATTTTTCCATGTGTTTTCTAATTCTAATTTAAATCCCAATTTTAGGATGTTAATGCATTGGTTGAAAGAGAGAAGACAGACTCTCGAAAAGTAAGTAAGTTTTTTTAGTAGATTCTACATACAGTAGTAACCACATTTAATGAAAATTCTAGACTGTCTTTATAAAATCAGTGATTCCTAACATTTTTGCCTTCAGTATATACCTCTAAGAAGTTAGTAAAAGCTATTCCCCAACTCAGAAAAATCAGCACATCTAAGAAAATTGCATATAATCTTAGGAGGTTCATAATCCTCTAGAGTCCATTCACAGATCCCCAGATTAATATCCTTGATAGCATTTATGACATTTAGGAAAGGTCAGTTTAAAGGCAAGAGTGACAAGGGGTACATTTTCTTTTTGTAGTAAATTTCTTTCCTTTTCTTTCCATTTCTGTAGACTACGCAGCTTACATCATCTGATTTGGAGTCTACACTTGAAAAACTAAAAGCTGAAAATCAACCTATAGGAGATGTCCTAAAGCAACTCATATTAATGCTTTGTTCAGAAGAGGTAACATTTGTTTAAATATTTCAAATATGCTATTAAGGTAAAAAAAAATTCTTTATAGATAAAAGTAAGCAAAGCCAAATACAATATTTATGATTTTTATAATTGATTATTATACATCATGCCTGTGAAGAGTGCAATTAAATGAAAGGTTAACTAATTTCAACTACACCTTGAATGGCATGTTTTCGGGTTGCTGTAGTTTGTTTACAATAATCTGCAAAGTGAATGATAGTAACAGCCGTGATAGGTTTATCATACATGCCAAATGTCCTTTCAAGCCATGGCTCCGGTCTCTTATATCTAGATTGTCAAGCAACTGATACATGCAGTAGTCATTTGCAAGTCAAATATTACTAGGTTGTTAATGCAGGGATTGAAATTCCATTTTCCTGCTGGAAAAAAGCTCTTTCTGAGATAAAGGGTCTCTTGCCTTTTTTTCAGCAGGCATACAGCTGTACTTAGTGTTTATTTTAGTGTGTCTGCAATTTGTGGCGTATCACTAGACTTTTTCAGTTTCTAGTTCAATATAATTTGGTGGTATGCCTGTGATTTTAGAGAACAAATATAACTGAGTTTTAAGATTATAACATGGTACTGTTAAATTCCAAAATATTTCTTCACGTTACTAGGAGAGTAAACTAGACTGTGAGGAACTCTGCAGTGATATATAGTCTGTGTAAGGAAATTGTACTGTGAGTAGGAGGTGACTTGGTACATATATAATCTGGAAGTCTTTTTTTATAATGCAGTACTAAAGCTAAAACATCAAATTTGGCCTAGTGGCCTATTTTGCATTACAGATAACACATTCTAAAACCCTACATATCTATCTTGCCTGTTTTTGAAAAGGTGAATGAAAATTTCAAAGAGTGAGGTGAAGTAAACAGCATGAATCCATTTATTTTTAAAGTACTCTTAACTTTTTCTAGTCAGAAAATAAAACCAGAAATTTTACATTTTCTTTTATATTTATTTCTTCTTTTTTACTTCTGTCCTTTATTTTAGAACATGCAGAAAGCTCTTGAATTGAAAGCAAAATATGAATCAGATATGGCTGTTGGTGGCTATGCAGCTTTAATAAATTTGTGCTGTCGACACGATAATGCAGAAGATGCACTGAACCTGAAACAAGAATTGTGAGTGCCTTCGCGCTGCAGCAAATCATCACTGTTAGAGTTGATACACAGTCCTTGATGGATCATGTAGATTGAACATTAGTTACTTACATAATGTAATTTTTAAAATGTCTTTCTGTCACTGTTTTTGCATAATACGAGACTCCGATTAATTATGGCTTGTTTTCAGCAGAGTCTTTGTTTAAGTATAAGACATTCTATTCCTGTAAAGCCAAGGTTTTTTCTCCACTTTCACAACTGCATATCACAACAGTGGTGATGGTAGCTATTTTATAAGACTTGTTAAACAGCTCCCTTTCTATACTGTAGTTTAAACAATTTTCTGTCCAGTTTTTTAAATATCTTTGGTTTCTCGCCTTTGATAGATTTATCAAATAAAAATATGTCTCTTTGGGCATTTCGTTGTTCATTACAAAGTTAGAATCACCTGAAGTACCACCAAGTGAAAGAGTTCCTATATTCCTATCATTTGAAGATGGAGTGATGCAATGTAAATGTAATGTTAGTTTTATTTCTTTTGTCACTTCAAATATTATAACGTGAATTTGAATATGGCTTCACAAGTAAACCTTAACTGAAATGTAGAGGCGAATATTTAATAACAATTCAGATTATCTGATGAGTTTTTGAAAGTGAGAAAGTGGATATTGCTGTTCTTTTTGCAGTTAATTGACTTCTAACATAATATAAATGTGGCTTTAATTTTTAGTGACCGTTTAGATCCATCTGCTGTTCTTGATACGGGCAAGTATGTAGGCCTTGTAAAAGTGTTGGGAAAACATGGCAATCTCCAAGGTAAGCCTGGTCATATAAAGGAAATATGTGATGCAAGTATCTTGCCACTGGAATAACATGTGAATTGAAATTAATGGTATATCATGTCCTGCAAAGTGCTTGAATACTTTGCATACAAATTTGCATGTGAATCCAACCAGAGCTGCATGGACAGTGTAGGCCATTAGTTTTAATGGATTGGCAAGCTTGTCATTTACATTTGCACAGCTCAGTGCTTTTTGCATTTCTGCAGCTAGTTTTTATTAGCATTGCTGTTTGGATTGAGTTTGAAGATCATGACTTATTGTCATGATTTGCTTATGTGCCTGCACTAATGGCTTTGTTTTTGCTTAAGAACACCTGAAGGCTGAACATAAAACCTCTAAACGTAACTTTTATTTAAGAATATGAATTTTGCAGTAGTCTTTGCCTTAACTTTTGATAACATTAACAAAATATATAATTGACTGAGTTTTTATCTGGAAGTTTGCAGGGAAAGCCTATATGATTATACAGTTCATATTCATACTCTGATTTTCTCATTGTTCAATAATGCTAAGCCTAATACAAATAATTACATTTGATGATATACTCTATTTGTTTCTTAACTTTCTCATTGGGTTTTATTTTGAAACTTCCTATATCATCTTCCTCTTTTCCGTTTATTTCCAGAGAAGATTCAAATACATTTTTTATATTGAAAACTGTATGGACAGAATATTTGATTTGAAAATTGATTTTTTTTCCCCCTAGGAAGCCTTTTTAACACAGAAAACTCTTTATAAGGATTAGCCTGCTTTTTTAAAATCACATTTTGTAAAACGGTCAAAACATTTTGCCTGTGCAATAATTAAGAACAACATTATAAAAATGCACTTATTCCATATCCTAAAATGTTTGTTTCTGCCTTCCTAATGAAGCTTAATGAATCTAATGTATTAACATGCAGTCTTTTGGAAAGCTTTCATTGGCTCTGCTTGGCTAATTAGTATCGACATAGCAAACAGGCCCTATCGGTATCAGACCATTAGTCTGGCTGTATATACAGTGTAAACACATCTTTATTATCTGGCTTCCTGACAAGCCATCTGCTGAAGAAACAATGGTGTGATTTAGCAGATGTTAGCTCTGAACGATAAAAGCATCCATTTAGGAGGATCTTACAGCTATAGGGCAGACCGTACAGGGTTATGTGGTGCAGAGTGGGCACACAGTCTCTATCTGTAATTTGTAGTCAAAGTTGCAGGGAAATGATAAAACCATGCTATTGTGGATTTATAATTGTAGTCTCGTTTAGAAATGCAAGTAGTAATTAACTTGAAATCGGCATTATACACTAGAATTTACATTCCTGCTGGGCTTGAAATGCTGTTTTAATAGCAGTTTGTTTTCCCTACATGAAATTACCTAAGGGTCTTTTGTGTTCTTTCATTGTAGATGCTATTAACATTCTAAAGGAAATGAAAGAGAAGGATGTTCTTATCAAAGACACAACAGTCTTGTCCTTTTTTCACATCCTAAATGGAGCAGCTTTAAGAGGTGAAACTGAAACAGTAAAACAGTTACATGAAGCCATCATGACTCTAGGCTTAACAAAACCATCCACCACCATAAGTTCCCCATTGGTTACTCTGTATCTGGAAAAGTAAGTTCATTGAATTTCGAATTTTAAATGTTGGCAGTAAAAGAATGAGCGTAATCGTTTGGGGATTATACTTTGTAAATATTCTCTGGTATTGTGGAGGCCTTGAAGGTTATATGCCAAGAACAAGAGGACTTACATGGACTAAGTGACCTATAAAATCACCAGCAGCTCTGTGGTCCTATGGATTATGTCTTGATGGGATGATCTCTGGTGAATTTTTGTGGGGCATGTGGTGATATTACATGAAATCAAATTTATCTTTTTCTAGTTTTTAGCCTGGTAAGTGTTAATTATTAAAAAGTATAAGAAAGAAGGATTCCCTGGGGCTTTTGATTATGCATCATGACTGTTAATCAGGTAGCAGTGGCAGCATCTCTTCAGTGTTCCTTTTCTCCATATGGTATTTTATTTTAATTGCATGTATTGATACCAGTACAGTTTTTTAGCTTTGATGAATATTATAGACGATATCTCTGTGCCTTGTGAGAAGATAAATTCTATTTATAGGGCAAGATTTACTCAGTTTAAAATTGTTCTATTTGAAATGCTCATGTTGGTGTCCAATTTAATGTATTATTTGCAATGCAAATCATGAAATCAACCTACTCTCATAATGAGTGAAACATTTTAGTAAGATGATTAAGTACCCTTTATTGTCTTCTTTTCCTTTTGTGTTTGTTTGTTTTTTAATTTCCTAGATCTTAACTCTTTGTCATCTTTTCCATGCTTAATGCAGTTTATAATCTGCTTGTTCCCTGACTGGGACTTTCTGATTTTAATATGGATCTTGTCCTGTCAATGCCAGGAGGAAAATAAAAGCTATGTCTTAGTTCTTATATTTTCCCCAAATTTCTGGTTTTTCTTTATTTATTAGGGGGTATAATTAATTAAATATAATGAAAGGTTTAGTATTGAATTTAAAATGTAGAATTAAAAAAATCTTTTAACTTGCTTTTTGTTCAGAAATGCATATATAAATACATGTGTATACACAAATACATGCACATACATGTTTTGTGAAATAATTCCTTTGCCATCCAATCAAAAAACAGTTTATCGAGTTAGATGATTGGCCAAATCTTAACCTTCACAATCTCAGCATTACATCCTTTTAAAGAAATAGTGATTCAAACAGTTATTGTGTTACTGAGTTCTCATGTTCACAGCCAACTTTATATAGAAATCCTATAATTAATGTGCTTTCTACTAGACTTTTTTGATTGTTTAAAAAAGACCCATCTCTGCAAATTGCATGTGGAGCGCTGCACAGGGATTTGAAAGAATGGGCCCAGTGCCCAGAAGAATTAGGCCCTCCTTCACTACTGGGCAAAAATAAAATAATTAACAATGAAAATGAGGCCATGGTGGAAAAGTATCTTACAAATAGAAGTACTTTGAAGACAGGAGACACAAAAGTCTTCCAGAACAGGTCTGCAGATGGGGCTCATGAACCAGGAGAGCTTACCCAAGGGAGCATGGGAATACCATGGGCTTCAAACCTAACCTGGAGCTTGCTCTGTGCTTTTGATTCTGTAGTATAGTCTGAGGTTTGTACGTCTCAGTAAAACCTAGCTGTCCCTGTTAATTGGACCAGAGAAATCTAAATTAGCATCTTTTCTTTTATGACTTTGTACTCCTTTCATATACAGAGAGAAATTACTATTACCTTTCATTTTTATTTGCCTAGGGTTTGGGGTATGTTTTTTTCCTGTCTTTGCTTTGGAGAGGCATGTCTCCATAAGATCTTTCACATTTATCTGTCATGATAAAAAGTTTTGTGGACTGTTTTAGAGTCATGAGAATAATGAAAAGGAGGCACAGGAAATTTCACATTTATAAATTGCAGAAAACAGTAGTAGCACTCTTAGTTGGGGATAAGTTGAAGGAAAGAAATTGACTTTAAACTTCTTTCCAATTGTGTTTTCCCCAACTGATAGAAGATAGTTAATTAATTCAGAATTTTGACAGGTGCAGTACTAGGATTAAACTAAACTAGTCTGCCAAAACGTCCACATGTATTTGATTTGATTAAAAGTTTAATCTTCAATAATGTAATGTGATTGACCTCAGCAGGTATGAACTCAACTGGGGAATGAGTCTTAATTATTCAAATTTGAGATAAAATTACGAAAAGCATTCCAGAACACCATACAAAATCTTCATTTTTTTCATTCAAAGGCAAGCATGTTTTTGGAATGTCATAGCAAAGACTCTTAAGAGACTATTACTTACACATTGTAATTCTGGAACAAATTCATGAAATTGAGTTCCTTAGAAAGATGATATAAGATACAGTAGATTTTAGTTTTGAGCTGACTTTTCCAGCATCAGAAAGAACACAGAAGAAATTAACACTGTTAGTTTATTATTTGAATAATATATAAAAAGTTTTTGGATATGGAAAATAATGCATTTTGTTTTTATCCATTTGCCAAAATAACAACTGGTTTACCCAGTTAAAAACAAGTTTGTAAACTAATCTGCTTCTGTAATATCAAAATGATAATACTTGCATTGAACAGAAAAATAAGAGTTGAACAAAATTTCCATGAGTTCCATTCACATTAGGATTGTTTTGTAAACCATGTGTCTACATGTAGTCCAAATGTTATTTTAAACATTTTCTTTTGTGGCTATTTAAATTTTGTTTTTAATTAAAATCATTCCTGATTCTGGGAAATGACCTGAATCCTCCATATTAGAGAAGGAAGAAATTCTTTAAAATAGGTTAGAAGAGCTTTTGATTAGTCTTTATGCAATGTTTAAAGGAAATAAAATTAATAAAATCTGGGTCATTAGGTTTAAAGGCATAAGAATTTGTATGATGCAATTTCAGATTCACTTGTTTTATAGCTTGTCTGTTTTGGTTTCATTGCATATGAAAAATATCTCAGGTTGTTTAACTGGATTATTTAGTACAGTTGATCAAGGAAGCTTTAATTTTTGCTTTCCAAAAAGGGTTTTTCTGTGCTGATTTGTGCTATAATCTGTATATGCCCATATACATTTCATGTAAGTGAATCATGGACTTTATATATAAACCTTTCAGAACCCTTACTAAATAATATAATCTTGAGTTCTTCCTAAAGGTCATAATTTCTGTTAGATAACAATGTAGGTTTTAAAACTCACTGTAACACTTTAATATGTTACATAAATGGAAAATATACTTTATTAAATGCTGGTTATTCTGTCATATACACGCCCCTTCAATTTTAGCATCTTTATTTGTACTGGATACTTTTATTATTTATGGGAATGCGTGCCTTCTAGACTAAAACTCTTTATGTGCTGAAAGGAAATTAAGGAGGTTTGCCTCTTTTACTCCATTATTGCAATTAAGAATTTAGCATCATCAGTGCCAAAGGACAAAAGTGTGTCATTTGCCCTAGGGGGACAGGACAGTGATAAGATGATTTTTCGTCAAGGATCATTGGGTCGTAATTAAGTTACATTCATGGCTATTGCTTTTTGAAGGATGATTGGTAAATGACAGGCTTCATGTGCTTAGTGCGGACAGTGTTCAGTAGGGTTTTTTCTCCCTCTGTCAGAAAATCCTGTTGAGCCTGATAATGTAAATGTGGCATTTTATTCTGAACAAAAGAGCAGGGAAATGAGCTATCTTGTCTAATCATTCAGTTGTTTAACACCGACTTCCAGTTTAGACTCAATTGGCTGGAAAGCACTTGACATGTGAAGTTAGTTAGTGCTGTTCCGAACGCATGTTTGAGTAAATTTTAAAGTAAGTGACAGCTAAATTGTACCTAGGGAAATTACAAAGCCTTCAACACAGTTAATTTTTTGGGGAGGATTAGTTGTAATTGCAACACCAGTCTCCTTGAAGATTCCTCATTTATAAATGATGAACAGAAAAAAAAAAAAAAAAAAAACAACATGTAGCTCTTTCACGGGCTGGTTCTTTTAACAGAATAATTTTTGTGAGGATGATGGTTTCTCCTGAATTGATTTCTCTCCAAACAGAACATCTGCTTAAAATTTATAGAATAGTTTGTTTTTAGAATGTTGGGGTGTTTTTTTCCCCTTTTAAAAAACTTTTTTCTCCCCCCAAAGCTCTTATTTTCTCTAGTGATTTCAGATTTTGAGAGCTTTTTAGTCAGTAAGCCCTTTAAGTAAATTGCCACTTCTCTAATACTTTATGCATAATGTTGAAGCACTTTATTCCAATTAAAAATCAATATTTGTCATATTTTAGTTGTTAAAATTAAGTATACTCTCTGGATTGGAAAGTTATTTATTATAGTCAAGGAGACTAGGTCTAAAGCTACTAAAAGCTGAATAGATAATTGTGGTTGTTCTTGGCTAACAATTCAAGATCATATGAAACACATTTGGGATTTTTACAGTTACATATAGTGAGGAATTTCGGTCAGGAGTGCTTTGTTTCCTGGTACCTTTAAGTGGATATTTTTATGATCTGTAAGTGAATGTATGTCCAGCACTTATTTTTCTGTCATGAACATTATAGCATATTTTAATTTTATAATAAGGACTAAAACAAGAGGTAACATACAAAGGTTTGCCTTTTTGGATATTCCTCCATGTAATAATGAAAAATTAAGTTTGTAGTAGTTTTATATATGGTCATATTCCCTTAGAAAAGTGAATTAAAGATTTCTAAAATGAATTTTAATATGAGCCAAGTGAGCCCATTCATGTTAATAAATAAAACTCTCTTTTAAGTGTTTGAATTACTTATTGGATTCAGACTAATATATATGTGTTCTTAAAATTTAGAATCATGGAATCTTTCCTCTGTTCTGCCTTTATTTCATAGATATACAGAATTTTAATAAAGCTTATGTGAAGATAATTTGCATCAATCAAAATATTTTTAAGTGAATGCCTACTTTATTAGCATATAGTTTTATTCACGGAAGTTACATATTTCACTGTATTTTGGGGGGTAGTCTAGTCACTGAGCCATCACAGTGGGTTTTTTTTTTAGAGATAATAGTATGTTGTAGAGTTGATTTTCTTTTAGTATTACTTGAAATTTGTGAAAGCAGTGGCTAAATTTTTCCCAGGCACAGACTTATGATTTTTTGACACATTTGTATATAAAACTTTAGGAATTATGCATACAGAGGTGGGCAAAAGTAGATTTACAGTTCAAAACAAATAATAAAATAATAAAGAGTAATACAAGAATAAACAGTTTTGCATACTCACAGCTATAAACCTACTTTTGCCCATCCCGTATATACTGAAATAAGCATGGACTCAAAGTTTTTAACCCAGAATTAGTGTTATCTACAAGATTTCTTAAAAGGATTGTTGTTATTTTAGGGTAGGGTTTTAAATCAGTTCTAGTATTTTAAAGTATACAAAGGAAATGACAATCATTCTGGGTCACAGAAGCTAGAAGTACACTGATTTGTAGTACTGTGTCCACATTTGGGGTATAAAGTAGTTTCCACATTTTCCTTTAGATATTTTGCTGCTCTTAATGCCTTCATCTTGCCTAATAAAAATGGTATTTTCATGAGATGATTTTCTTTGCTAGTGTGAAATGAAACATTTGAGTTGATGAACCGAATAGGCCCAAATTCATAGACCCTCACATTAGAGTATTACAACTGAGAGGGAACCTAAAGGTCCCTCAGCTCAGCCATTGTGATAATATGCTTTTCATCACCACATCTAGAAATGTATCACATTGCTGCAGCTGACTACATGTAGTACTTATCAGGATTGAAATTCAGAATCTCATGAGTATACAACTATTTTCATTGCAATATGAATTTTACGTACTTTTTCATGTTTTTTATTTCCATTAATCAGAACTGATTAATAATGACATAAAGTTATATGAAAAATGAACCCTTTTATCTCTTTTTAAAGTGACATAATCCAACCACAAGTCAGAATGTAGATAACAGGGATTGAAAAGAATCGACTAGTTGTTAGTTCATTTCTATCAGTACAGTTTGTTTGAAATGTTTCATTATAGATTTCTAATTCTTTTCGTTGGCAACCTGAGGGCAGTAACGTCAGTACTTACATTTCTAACAAATACATGAATTATTTCCATTTTGCTATTCTTGTCTTTCCTGTTGTTGTTCTGAGCGTGTATAATCTTTAGAAGCGTATATTTGGAGACCAAAGACTATTAACATGTCTCTTTGATTGACAGAACAATTATTCATTCATATATTGATAGCTTTGACCTAATGTAGGAGAAATGCAATTGAGACATTACTATTCTAGTTTGGGAATTGATCTGAAAAAGCAAATCATACCACTTTTAAAAAATCAGTATGTGTTAGCTTTTCTCTTAAAAATATTTTAGTAGTTTTCCATTAAATGGAATTGTAGAAAGGTAATAACTGAACTTGTGTCTGAAGCAAGGGAAAATACTGATTATATAAAGCTTTATATCATATGTGGTAGCTACTGTAGCATTTCTCTTGTATGACAGTAATCTAGCCTGCAACATCTACTTGCGGTTTTGAAATTAACCTGTAATTTAGTCTTCACCCCAAATGACAAAAATTCAAATGACTCTGTGGGGTGCTGGAAGATGCACTGTAAACAGGGCTCAGTAAGGGGATAAGGTAGAGTTCCATCAGGATAGACTCGTTTTCACTGTGTCAGTATTATTGCAGTAAAATTAATGCTTCTTCATGGTATTTTACTTTTTTAGTACAGCTTAAAATCTTAATCTAGATAAAATAGTAATTCAGTCTATGGCAACATAACATTTGTATAATGGACCAAAATGTTAGGGCTTCAATAGCAAATTTAAAAAGGCTTTCTTCCTTTTGAAAACTGTTGCATGCAAGAGAGACATGTGTTTTCTCCACTAAGGTTGTCACTGTCATTAGTACTGTGGTCCATGTCTCTAACCATGCCTCTTTTTCTTTTAAAAATACATTTCATACTTTCTTTTTAAAAAAATCTTTAATTTCTTAGTCAAAATTGCATCGACTATTGCATCAGTTAAACAAACAATAGTGCGTTTAATGGAGCACAATCTATAATTAGATATACTCCTTGAAGGTGGGAAGTCCAGGGACCTGATGGCGGTATCTTTCTTGCCCTGTTCTCCTAGTAGTGCTCAGTCAATCTCTAGATGCTTTGATTTCCTTATACACTTAAAAGTGGAGGATGGTGGCATTTAGAATTGGATCAGATAATCTCTACAGTTTTTCCAAGGTCTTACATATTTCTCATACTGTCATTTCCTTTTAAAGGAAAAAGTAGTTTTTGAGGATTCACAAGAATGTATTTTCCCCATTCTTGCTTAAGAAACTTAAACTTAATGAAAATATTTTTTTAATTTATTACCACATAAGAGAAGCCTTGACTTTATATTTGGAAATAATTTTTAAAAGCTTATCCTCTAATGAAAAGCCTTTTAAGAGTTCTTCTAGAATTCAGTGAATTCATAAGAATATCCTAGTTAGAGCAACAATGCATTTCTGTATGTATGAATTCTGAAGTTATTTCCTCCTCATCTGGAGAGGTGACAGTATGAAAAATAAGATAATGTTAAAAGTGCTTGAAATTCCTTGATAGCTGTGGATGGACATTTAATAAAGTTTCCCAAATTTGGAATTATTGAGAACTGTAAAAACATAAGTAGTTAGAAAAAAATTAATATTAATATTTAATTTTAAAATGTTATAGTAGTCATTGTTTTTAGAAATAATGAGTTCTTAGAGTGATGTTGGAGAATATGGTACCGTCATCTATTTTGACTTTTTTTATAGTGCCATTTAGCAGGCAGAATCATAAAAGATGAAGCAGGGGAAACAGGGAACTGCTACTGATGTCTGTACTCTGAACGTGTATTTATATGTAAGGATTGTTTCTCTTACTTTTTTTTCATTTTGGCTTCTTGGTTTTCTGCCTTGAAGCTCAGTTAGTACATTTTGACTGGCCATTGTACATCTCTCTAAACTAAATTAGACTCTTTTTTCAATATATTTGTTTTCAAGGGATGACTTACCTGCTGCTCTTGAAGCCACCATTGAATGTTATGAAAAGTATAAAGTATTACCGAGGATTCATGATGTCTTATGTAAACTAATAGAGAAAGGCGAGACTGATCTAATTCAGAAAGGTTAGTCACCTTTTAATGTCTTGGTGTACGCGAGAGTTCCCTGCCGAGAGTTCGCTGCCACCCTCGCCCCTTGCTCCCGTTGCTGCTTTAATCTTAATGCATTGCTGTGAAGAGAAAATTGAACAAGAAGGCAAAGCACGTCCAGAGAAATGTTGTTACACTTCTAAATTAAAAAGAAAAATATCAGGTAGATTTTAAGTATTATAAACGTCCTTGAGTTTAATAACTGTTCATTTTGTAAAGTTGCCCCCTATTAAATTTTGTTCCACCTCTTGGTGATCTAGCTTTATAAGGACTTTTTACAAACGTCATTGTCACCAGTTCTCTTTGAAGTTAAGTCGTAGTTACTTAATGTCATAAATGTGTGCTGTTAAGTAAAGACTGTGACAGGAAATTGGTTGACATAGCTATAATCTTTAAGATGTTCTAAGTAATTTGTTTTAAAGTTTTCTTGTATTTTTCCAGAACTTCAACTGATTGTGTTTGTCTACATTTTTTTTCTTCTAATATATTTTCTTCTTTCCTCTCTAGCAATGGACTTTGTGAGTCAAGAACAAGGTGAAATGACGATGCTCTATGATCTCTTCTTTGCCTTCCTACAAACAGGAAATTATAAAGAGGCCAAAAAGATCATTGAGGTGTGATTTTAACTACAGTATTCTAATTGTACAGCTATTTAGACTCTTAATTAGAATATGTTTTAAAACTTTAACCTTTAATTATACTTGTTCTGATTCATGTTAATATAATTCAATCCCAATAATGGGGCTGGGGGTAGGAGGAAACTCGGCCAGCTTCTTTATTGTGTATAATTAGAGTTCAAAAAAGGCAGCCTCGTTGTATATTGAATTTGTTTCCTCACTTTGTTAAATTCACTGTTATATATCAAAATGATATTTGCATACATCTTGGATTGTGGAACAATTAAATTAAACTGGCATTCCTGGGTGTAAAGTTACTAATCCTCTTTGCCAAGGAATTCTTTGTTCTTAAAAGCAGTGGAATTTAATTTGCTGCAGTTCATGCTCAGATTTATTTGTAATGCTTGTCTACAAGTTAATCAGCCAAACAAGTGCTGTCTGCAACTGTTTGGCATTTAATTTAAAATTTCTTCTTCCCTATTTTTAAACTGTGGTAAGCAGCTTATAGGAAATAGTAGGTGACAAACCTGGCCTATTTAGGATTTAGTATATTTTATCTAAGCTTGATTGAAATTCTGCTTACTAAAATTAGTAAGTCAACAGGCAACTATAAAGTCTGTCCTAATTATGATTAATTTCACTATAAAACAGTTGTGTCCCCTAAAAAAACATTACCCAGAAGGTAGAACCATAACCTTAAAAAAATATTTAATGTGATTAAATACATTTGTAAACACATCAGTAATCATGTATCTCTCAGATCATACTTTGCCGTTATTCTGTGTCTCTTTCCCAAAGTGCCCATGGTGGATGGTACAGAGAGGTGGTGTTTGGCCTTCTTTTTTGTATATTGATGATTGCTTATTACGAAATTGAAAATGTAGGCACACAACCCATAAAATTATTAGTTTCTATCGATGTTTTTGAAAGAAAAGTCTAGTAAGGAAAAGGAGGACTATGAAATTAATTAAGGACTTTCTTCTCTTTTTGTCTCTTATAACTCATTTGATCCTCCTGCCAGAGGAAAGTGGGACATGCTGTCTTGGAAAGGTGTTTCTGTAGCTTAACTAGTTCATTTGTATTTTCAGAAATGGTATATAAATTATTTCACAGTAAGTGCATAGTATGTCTATCTGAAATTGTGAAGGGCGCTGCCCGCCTGCTGAGTTCTGCTCTTTATGCATGGTTATCAGTGTTAGCAGGGCACCGGTCAGAGAGTAGCAGTGAAGCTCAGGTATTCAGATAATGGTGATGAAAGGTCCTACAGAAGACAGTTATGTGCCTTTGTATGTAATAAGCAAGACAAATAGGAAGAGCCAAAGGCATAAGAGTGAGTTCTCCTTTTGCCATCTACTTGCTAGGGTGATAATGGACAAGTTACTAAACCTTTCTATATTTTCCTATCTATAAAAGGGAATACAGAGTGGGGCAAAAGTAGTTTTACAGTTCAGATGGAAAATATTACAATAATAAATAATAATACAAGAATGGTTTCATGAACTCAGAACTCTAAGTCTATTTTTGCCCCACTGTGAATAGTATCTTTTTTTAATATTCAGTCACATAATGTATGTAAAGTAGCTTACCTGCTTCCTGGATTATGTTAGTAATAAATAGTATTAATTTTCTTTGCTCCTTAAAGGTAGGAATTGTATTTTCTTCTTTACACCACATAATTTATAATATGATGCTTAGCAGAAGGTGTATGCTTATCACATGAATAGGTGAAAGAAGACTGTCTCAATTATCCTAAAGCTTTGCCACTGTGCATCATCACTAAGTGTACTCATTTAGGAATAGCTGTCTACCGATAACAGAATTTTCATAGTGGATATGTATAAAATTGCTTTAAGGATACAGAATAGCTTTATAGAATCCCTGCAGTCCCTTAGAGTAGTTCAGCAAGGTGTGTAATATGAGAATATACTGAAGCACATTTCAGTTGCTTTTTTTAATGGTTAGTTGGAGTTGAATTAAAGCTGGGAACTTGCTTTTTTCATTATTGAAATTTAAGACCTGGAGTTTTTCTTACAGTTTTCTAAGGATTATGGAAAATATAAAAAGTAATGAAAATTAATAAGATAGGACTGTATCAGCATATGAAGGAATATTATAAAATACTGAGCAACATTTTTATCATTTCCCAAAATGAAATAGTGTCTTATCAATGAGTAGATTCATTAGGGTTGAATTTCTAAAGCAAAACATACAATGAAGCTTCTTGGCTTTGAAGCACTGTGGGAGATAAACCAGTGACTAAAATGAACATAGTCTTATGTGTTATTTCTTACATGGATTATTGCAGGAGGGTGGGATTATAGCAGATATTTTGCTTTATACTTTTCTGTATTTTCTGATTTTTCTGAGCATATGTGGGCTGTCCAGAAGGTATCCAGCCATGTACTATGAAAAATAGAGATATTGAAGATACAAGATACAAGCAACATTGTACATGGGACAAAGACACCTCAGTCCCCTTGAAATTAGGCACCTTGGGACCTCACACAGTATTCCCAGTCTCCATCAGCTGCCCCCTTGTATTTTCCTGAATCTCATCAACTGTCTGAAATCACTTCCCTTTCAAAGGTGATTTTAATTTTGGGGAAAGCAGAAGTTGCAGGATGCTAAATCTGGGCTGTAGGGAGGCTGAGTCACCTGCGCAATTTGATGTTTTCTCAAAAAAAAACTGTTCACGAGACATGATGCATGCGTGGGTGCATTGTTGTGATGAAGCTGCCAATCACCAGTTGCCCATGGCCGCAGCCTTCTGAATAATCTGAATAGTACCTGCAGAGAAATGTTCAAGTTTAACACAAAATTTTGATGTAGATTCATTGCTCTACTCAGTCATTTTGAATGTGATGGCCACACAGTACACATGCTCATTCAGTGGCATCTACTGTTCCCGCAGACTAGTACAGTGAAGTCATCATTGTTCAGCCATGCTCACTGCAGTCCACTCTCCTTGGCTGCCAGGTTACATCAATGTCGCACAAACCATTCTCGTTACATTAGCAATGGCTGGACTTTTTCCGGACAGACCTCGGGTATACTCCTTTTTTTAATATATAATCTTTATTGTATTTTTCCATTAGCATTTATTCCCCTTATACACCCCTCCCCCCAGCAGTCATCACCCTGTTCTCCATGTCCATGAGTCCTTTTTCTTTTTTGTTTAATCACCTACCCCCTATCCTCCCCTCTCTAGCTGTCATCCTGCCCTCCCATCTATGAGTCTCTGTTTTGCTTGTTAGTTCAGTTTGTTCATTAGATTCCACATATGAGGGAAATAATATGGTATTTGTCTTTTTCTGACTGGCTTACTTAGCATAATGTTCTCCAGGTCCATCCATACTGTTGCAAAGGATGAAATTTTCTTCTTTTTTACAGCTGAGTAGAATTCTGTTGTGTAAATGTCCCAGAGTTGTTTTATCCTCTCATCTGTTGGACACTTGGGCTGCTTCCATATCTTAGCAATCATAAATAATGCTGCAGTGAACATAGGGCTGCTTGTGTTCTTCCGAATTAGTGTTTTGGGTTCCTTTGGATATATTCCCAGAAGTATTTGCTGGGTCAAAAGGCAGATCCATTTTAATATTTTGAGGTATTGCCATACTGCTTTCCCCAATGGCTGCACCAGTCTGCATTCCCACCAACAGTGCAAAAGGGTTTCCCCTTTCTCCACATCCTTGCCAGCACTTACTGTTTTTTTATTTATTGACGATAGGCATTCTGACAGGTATGAAGTGGTATCTCATCGGGGTTTTTATTTGCATTTCTCTCATGATTAGTGATGTTGAGTATCTTTTCATATGTCTATTGGCCATCTGTATGTCCTCTTTGGAGAAGTGTCTGTTCAGGTCCTTTGCCCATTTTTTAATTGAGTTGTTTGCTTTTTTGGTGTTGAGTTTTGTAAGTACTTTATAAATTTTGGATATTAACCCCTTATCAGATATATCTTCGAATATGGTCTCCCATTTCATACACACACACAGACACACACATACACATATATACACAAACATATTTTTTTTTAAGATTTTATTTCTTTTTAGAGAAAGGAAGGGAGGGAGAAAGAGAGGGAGAGAAACATCAATGTGTGGTTGCATCTTGCGTGCCCCCTACCGGGGACCTTGCCTGTAACCTAGGCATGTGCCCTACACTGGGAATCGAATTGGCGACCCTTTGGTTTGCAGGCCAGTGCTCAATCCACTGACCCACACCAGCTAAGACATATATCCTTATACTCAGAAAAAGTGTTATTTTTCTTCCAAATTAAGAGAGTAAGAAAAAGAAGCTAATCAGACTTAAGATAAACCCTCAGGCAGCTAATATGAAACTCTTTGAATGTGAGATTAATATGTGAAGGGAACTGCTATAGAGACTGAGAAGGGTTAACTGCTGTAAGTATAAATAGTCCTGCAAGTTTAAGAGTAGAACTTATTTACAAATAGGAAACTAGACAAGACTTTCAGAAGGAAATGGTGTATGAGGAGGAGACTGATGGATGTCATAGTACTTACCATTGGGGAGTTTGAAATTAGAGCAAAGAAGTAGAAAAGGGGAAATCACTAAATATCCCTCCCCTCAGCTTTGTTGAGATATAGTGGTAATTGACATATATTATTGTGTAAGTTTAAGGTGTACAGGATATTGATTTGATATATTAATATATCACAAGAGATTACCAAAGTAGCATTAGTTAACACCTCTTTCACTTCATATAATTGCCATTTCTTTTTTGTGGTGAGAACATTTAAGGTCTCTCTTAGAAACTTTCAAGTAAATAATACAGTATTGTTAACTATAATCACCACTCTCTATATCAGATCCCTAGAACCTATTCATCTTATAACTGGAAGTTTGTACTCTGGACCAACTTCTCCCCATTTCCCCTGCCCGTGAGCCCTTGGGCAACCACCAATCTACTTTCTGTTTCTAGAGTTTGAATTTTTAAGATTCCACATATAAGTAATATCATACAGTATTTGCCTTTC